TTCATTTTGGTTCCATTAATCTCTAGACCTATGTTATTTTCTTTTCACATTTATTAGTTGTATTAGCCTTATTTTTTATTCTTTCAATATTTACTATATCATTTGCGTTTGCACAGAGTTGTGTTAACTTTGTAAGTATTTTCTCGTCGGTTAGACGTGATTCTCAAATGCAAAATAAAGGTACATAAAAAATGCATTAAAGGAAAACTTATGGTGACTTCATTATTTTTTCAATTTATAACAGTGTTTAATCAAAACTTCAGTTAAATTATGGAGTAAAAAAAATTTCCGAGGTTCCTCATGAGATCAACTCAATTTGAAAACTTTTAGCAGATAAATCATCTGTAAGGAAAAAACTTATTGCTAGAGTGAGACCGAAATAGAAATAAAATTGTGCCCTTGTTCAGTTATAAAGTACCTTAACATCTACTCGATTTTCTACGTATCGTGTATAATAATAAAATTTGAATACTTAATTCGATATTTTATGTTTAACATTGTGTATAATAATAAAAATTGATATAAGTAAAATAACTGAAAAATTTAATCAGATAGTAAATTAAAATTTTAAAATGTCGTAAGAATTTAATTTGAACTCTATGCAAGTATAATCGTTAACGTTATTTTGATTAATATTAGTCATTTGCAAAATTTACTCATCAGGTTAAAAAAAAAAAAAAAAAATCTTGCTCATCTGCTAAATTTGGAGAAAATAGAAAGATGATCCAAAATTCTCCAAAGCCTAGATAATATTCGAAAGAAACCAGAACATTCTATCAAATAGTACTATTTGAAATGATGATTAAAAGATTAACATTCATCTTTTTTTTTTCCTTCAAAAAAAAGAAAGTGAAGAGAAAACAGGGTAACTGTTTGCAAAATGAAAATACTTGTGATACTTCTAATAATAACAAAGTCTAAAAATGGAATAATAACCAAATAACAGGTGTTGAGAACATCTGCGGTACAATATTGCTGAGCATTTTTGAAATATAATAAGCCATATCTCATGAACTTCTCAGCTGTATTAGAGTCAAGAATTCTCTAAAATATGCTTAGGTAATATTTGAACGATCTAAAATCGGTCTTTCAAATAGAACAATTTAAATACTTTTTTGAGGCGAAGTGAAGAAAATTTAAGATCAACGTTCATTTTTTCTTTTTTTTCTTAATAAAAAAAGACATTTGAGTAACCGTTTGCAAAATGGAAATATTTGTGATACTTTTTTCACCTAATAATCGAATATTCACTAAACAGGTGTTGTGAGCATCTGCAGTACATACAGCCTGGTATTTTTCAAATCTAATAAGCCACAGCTCATGAACTTCGCAGTTGAATAGTAGGCAAGAATAATAAACCGAATTTCAGACGGCTGGTGATGGCAACACCTGTTACATCGTCTGCAATAATAGTATCCTCGAACATAAAAAAAATGGCGCGAAAAAACGACTAGGTATGTAAACGGTCAAAGAAGATCTAATATTGTACCATTGGATGCAGCAGATGTCAAATACGGGAATGATCAAGGAAAAAAAAAAGTTTAATCATTTTTATATTTTTGGAGTCAAGCAACTGTGGTCTAAGGGAGGTTGTTCAGTTTCTCGGCGTGGGAAACTGTGTGCCAACCACCTGCTCATCTCGCCAACTTCTTCACCGCATTCCAGAGCTCGCGATCTGCCGCCTCTTCTTTTTCCCTTTATGGTAAGAAGTTTTTTGCATGAAAGATTGAGGGGTGTGAGTAAGACACGTGCGGAAAGTGACCCCCTTGAATAAGGACAAAAAATATATATAATTTTTTTTTTTTAAAATATGGTAAAAAAAAAAAGGAGGGGGTCCTTGTGTGCAAATGATTCTTTGGAATTCTAAGAACAGATTGTTAGATTTGAGTTCATCTGTATTCCATTGAAATGTCGCATTCACCGTATGTTATTCCAGAAGTTACCTAACCTTTTTTTTTTAGGTAATCCATACGTAAAAATTAAATTGTAGATCTCGGGTGTAAAAAATGAAAACCAACATTTATTAATTTAAAGAAAAATATATTTATAGTTTAATTAAATATACTTTAAAAAATTAATTCTATTTAAATAAATTTACACTTTAATAAATTAATAAAATATACTTTTCTATTACGCATTTCGAACTAAAAACTTATTTCAAAGCTACTTGCTCTTCAATTGAAGAAACTAGTCAACATGAACAGACGTTGTTTCTTTCCTCTGCTCATCAGATGTTTTCAATTCGGTCAACTGTTTTCAATACAATCAATTCATTTTCAGTTTATACTTGATATTTGTAATCCAATGTATATCGGTGAAAAACATTCCAGATTACTCAAGTAAACAGGAGCTACAAGTTAGATGCGTTGGCATGCATGTTATCTTGTTTAACCTTTTGATGCCACGCTATGTTTATCAAGGAGATAAGATTGACTGTTTGGCCTTCTTTGCATCGTTATTAATGATAAAAGATGATAAAGTCGCCAATCTTTTTTTAGAATATTTAGTCTCAGTAATTACATCTAGACAGAAATGCAGAACTTATCTGTATTTGTTCTGCAAACAACAGCAACAAGAAACAGATTTTTCAGCCTATATTTCGTAATACATCTCTGTGAAAACAAATCAGTAAGTATTCAAAATAAGAAAGTTTAATTCGAGGTACACATGTAAGGCTGGTTTATCTAGTACAAAATATAAAATTTACAAATAAGGAGAAATATTATTGCTATTATTTGACTCTTACAATTTGTTGCTCATTATTATCGATAATAAATTTTGGTAATTTGAATAAAAACTTCTCAATGAGCCTTGGTCGAGACTAACCAACTGTTTTCCCAAAGCAACAATTTGTGTCACATAACTGTACCTATTTTTTTAAAAAAAGAAAAAAAATTGTTTTTCACGTATATTTTTAAATTTTTCGTTGGCAACTTTACGTTTTATATTTCAAATCACTTTTGTTTGTTCTCATTCATGTCTGACAAGTCTTGTTTTTAAGCGAATGAAGCAATGTAAGTTCTTATTTCCAATTTGTATTCCCAATTTGGAACGAATGAAGTTTTTAATCACGTAATGCACTCTTTTACTCAATACCCTTTTTGTTTGTCATCACAAACAGTAATTTGATAGAGAAAAATTTAAAATTCACAAAAAAGTATCCTGTTTACCTAGTACGGAGTATAGAATTTATTAATAATAATGAATATTTTTTTTAAATTGATACTGATTGAAATTCGACCTTTTTCAGCTCTTCCTATCACTAAAAAGTTTAATTATTTGAATGAAATTCTCTGAAGAGGCCCTTTAAATCAAAGTCGACCAATTGTTTTTCCTTATCTAATTTTGTTTGAAATAACTTGACCTTTTCTAAGTACCCCTTTCATTCTGTACCTTATCTTCAGAAATAAATCTTTGAGAAGCAGAACAAAATCCACGAGAAAGAAATATAATACAATGGAAACAATGGTGATAGATTCATTACAAAATACTTTTCTTAAGGGGGTTCAGTACCTAAAAACCTTCAAAAAANTGGTGATAGATTCATTACAAAATACTTTTCTTAATTGTTTATGTTAAAACTCGTTATTGACTAATTAAGTTATCATTGAAACTTTGAAGCAAATAGAATTTATTTATCAGTTAAGAATTTTCAAATTTCCGCAGTTCTTACTGCGAATTTATTAATTGAAGAGATTGATCTTGCAATCGAAAATTCAACCATTTTCGATTTCCTAGAGATGTAAAAACTTAAATAAAACTCCATGCAGGTTTCAATTGTTTCCTGGACACTGCAAGTGGAACTGATCGACAATCGAAATTTTGATTATTTTCCGGCAAGCTAGATTGCTCAAATGTTTACTGAAGCTGTCTATAAATAAAAGTTTTAACTCCTTTGATTGCAACAACCGGAATTTATCATTATAATAACCAGCCAGATGAATTTATCATCAATTTTGGCCTGCTTCCGGTTAAGTGTTCGATTTTCAGTTGGAACTTAATGCCTGATGACAATTTATGACCAATTAAAAGAGCTGAAATTTCATCTCAAGCCGTGTCTGATGGCAATGAAAGTTTACAATTATTTTCTGGGTGTTACACGCAGAATTAATCGCCAAATAGAAATCATCGGTCAGTCGAAATTTTGACCCCTTTTTCACCTAAACAAACTAACAGACACAAAACTGAAAAGTTAGAAAATAATAGTAGCGGAAAATATAATAATAATAGAAAATAATAATAATAGAAAATAATAATAATAGAAAATAATAATAATAGAAAATAATAAAATATTATTTAAAAATATGTTTTTCTAGTTACCTCTAAAGAAGGAAATGGTATCATATTAGTCTACATCTTTTCCATTAGGAACTTTTATGATCCCCTAAGTTACACGTCTTTCATTTTTTGTTGAAATCTTACAAAATATTTTTTTACCTCCTTTTTGGTTTACTTAAAAAACGTAGTTTTTAATAATTTTATTATTTATTATATTTTTATTGTTTATTCTAAAAACAATATTAAAATAAATACTCTAAATGTTAGCCATTAAACGTTCGCGAAACTTTATGTACCAAAACAGAAACATTTAACTTGATGTTGTAAGCAATGTCTTAAAAAGCAAATTAAATATCTTATTTATAGAAGAGTATCTTGATACCGATCGTTGTATATTTAGTACTTATTAAAAATCACAAATTAACATAATAGCAGTAGTATTTACTACTAAAATTAATTAAACAATATTAGCGTTAAATATTCACCTTGATGTTGCAAATGATTTCTTAAAAAGCAAATTAAATACCAAAAATATTAATAATAAAAAAAAAGCCTTGCAGACACGTTTTAACTTGTAACAGCTTGACTGATTTTCAAAGCTTTTATGTTCGATTAACGCAACAGGCAGCTGCGTTTATCAACCGCAACTGTCATTTGGCGAAGTTACCAGAAATATAATTGCACATTGCCGGATAATTCAGGAAATATTAACTCTTAAGTAATGAGCAACAATTTTTCAGGAAGCCAGATGTTTTTGAAAGTAATTCTTAACAGCATTTATTTAGGTTTTTCAGAAGCTGAAAAATATAAGGTTTTTGAGAAATCAATTTCTTATCGTTTGTTAGTTTTTGCTTGTAGCTATCTTGTTTTTAAAGGTAAATCTCCCTTCCACATGACCTTTAAGTGATACGGCATCATTTGCTACTGCTATTACTAGACTGAATTTTGAATTAAATCGTTATATTTAATCAATCCACTGTCGAAGTACCTTTTGAGCTCGCTTTCCAAAATGCAGAGAAAACAGGTAATATATTGAAAATATAAAAAAAAATTGCCTCAAAATAATTTGGTTATTTTCTTTTGATAAAAAGTATTAGATTTAGAAACTTACATTTACGAAGTCGATTTATCAAATTTGTGTAGAAAAAATATGCAGAGAGTACGATGAAATAAAACAAATATTCGATACCGATAATTAATCCGAGAATTATTAACTGTTAAATTTGTATTTAAAGTTATCATGCCACCTGCTCTAAAGAACGCAGAAATGCTACGACAGAGTAAAAATTTGACTAAATGTTACGTCTAAATTGTTTAATTTTCTCTACTTTGAATGTGTAATTCAAATCCACTAAGCGACATTTAATTATTCAAAATGTTTATAAAGTTTTTAAAATTCTTTAGCACTTAAAAACTTTATAAAGCATTTTCAATATTTAAATTTAATTTGGTGAAATAAAGCTACAACATAAGAAATTCATTGAATGCGTTCTTTTAAGAGACAAAAAACATAAGATTTATATAGTTTTTAGCTCTCCTAATAATTGCTTTTATTATAATACCACCTCCAAGCGTTAGAGGTTAATAATACTTTTTAATGCGTCAAATGAGTTTTGAAATCGTAATTTCTAAAAAATATTTTACAATTACGCACTACAAGATTACATATACATTTCGGCAAAGTAATAAGGATGTCGTACGAGATTCTGTTTTTCCTTCTTGAAGTCACGCTTGAAAAAACATTAAGTTGTAAACAAGAAAAAGAGCAAAATAGAATAAGGTTTGACATTTTGAATGAAAACAGCATTAAGGCTCCATAGAGGCGCAGTTCTGATAGGTAATTACTATAACATCCTTCTTGGAGTAAAAACTTACGTAACCTCGTTTCAATATCTATCTCCTCACAAATGATGTGTTTTTCCTCTGAATAGAAAACCACTGACGACAAAAGGGTACCTTTTCTTTTTTTCTTATTCATGACTTTGTAGTGATTCATGACGTGACTTTTCTTACGTCATAAGACTTAGTTGGAATCAACAAGAAGTTTGTGATTTGTCTTCTTGTTGTAGTAGTGACGACGGGACAAAAATTATTGATCGATGATTAAACCATAAAATGTAAAAGTTAGTATCCATTTCAGCTAATTGCTTGAATCGAAAAATAAATGGCTTAAAAAAATGATGAAGGAAAAAAAGGCTTACAGAATAAACGGGACGAGGAGGTAAAAGGGTACTAATTGGAAAATTATATGTCCCCAATAGTTGTAACGTGCTAATGACACTGATAGATGTACTGAAACAGAGTGATTCAAATTTATGTTACCAACTTTGTCACGCAAAGGAACATAATTTAAGCACGATAGATAAACTCTGCTGCTTAGGACGCTATACCGCGACAGGAACTTTTCATTGCAAATTCTGTTTCCTCTACACAACTAATCTAAAGTATAGAAAAAGTGAGTCCATGAAAACCTAGCCATAAAATTTCTATTGTTGAAAAAAATATATCAAAATGCAAACAAATTTTTGGAAAATAACTTTCCATTGCGTAATCCTTAGTTATCCTCTCATTATTTATTTTAATTTTGATATTTTTAGATGTTTTTTATAGTTTTTGAAACTTTATGGCTTACGAATTTTATAATTGTGTGAAAAAAAATTTGGATTCGTTCAAAAAATTCTCGAGATATGATGAAATACGCAAAAAGTAAAATTAATATTAAGCTGTCCAAATTTTGGTTCACTCTCTTGACCAAACTATTGGGACCTGGGACCATATTTCCCAGATTGCGGACCCCCTATATTTCAAAAGTTATAAAACCGAATCCGTTAAAAAAATTTATGTTTATTCAGAGAAAGTGCATTTTGTGCCTGATTTTATAACTTTAAATATCGTCTGTATAAGACCTGAAAATGAAGTAAACAACTGGTCACTTTTTCTCATCTTTTTATTTAATTATTTATTATCATTATTATTATTTATTTATTTATTTATTTATTTATTTATTTATTTAAAAATTGGGTTATGATTAAAGTACATCAATACAGAAAAAAGAGACACTGGAAAACACAATTTTCGTTACAATGTCCAAAATCTCGATTTAAAATTTTGAATCATCAAAATCCATCAATTTGTACCATTCATTTTTATGTGAAAAGAGAATTCTTATTCATATGTTTCAAAGTTGTAATGTATACATTAATGTATTTAGCCTCCCCAAATATTTCTAAACAGTTCTTTAAAGTCACTATGTTTTACTAAATTTTATCACATATTTATATTATTTTTATTGCTGAATTAACTTTTCATAGACGTAGATAATTTCTCATATGATTTTTTTAAACAAAAAAATATTTATAATTCAATCCAAGCAAAGAAAAAAAATAAGGGTAGCAAAAAGTGACTACTAGATGAAAAGGACTCATTGGTCACCGACTCATTAGGTAGGAGGATAAAATGGCTACTAAGTTATTAGTCAACCGACCACTGGCTACTAACTGATAATTTAAAATTTTTCGATACATTCCAGTGGTCTTCAATTAAATTTTTAAGAAAACCATAATTTGACTTAAAATAGTATTCTTCTCAAAACTAGCCAGCACGAACTGACGTCGTTTCCTTCCTCTGCTCCTCAAATGTTTTCAATTAGATCAATTGTTTTCAATTCATTTTTAGTTTATACTTAAAGTCTGTTATCTAATGTCTGTCGGTGAATAATATTTCAGATTACTCAAGTAAACAGAAGCTACAGTTCAGAAGCGTTAGCCATGCATGTGATCTTGTTTAACCTTTTGATTCCACGTCATGTTTATCAACGAGATGAGATTAACTGCTTGGCCTCCTATTTATGCCTGCCCAAACATTTTGAAAAAGTTCTTCAAAGATAGTATGAGCTAAATTTTATCGTATATTGTTTATTCTTTTTATTGCTGAATTGACATTTTGTAGAGGTATATTATTTCTAATAGAATTTTTTTTTTTAAAAAAATGTAATTTAATCCCAGCAAAAAGAATAAGTCTGCAAAAAGTGGCTATCGAAGAAAAAGACCTATCGATATTAGTGGCCGACTCATTAGGTTTGACGAAAAAGTGGCTACTAAATTACTAGAATCTACCGTCCACTGGCTACTAACTGAAAATTTTAAATTTTTAAGTCTAGTTTGCACTAATTATTCATCATATTTGATATCACCCCCTCAAATTGTTAAGTCATGGAACGTTAAAATCCGATTCTTGTGATATTGCAACTGGAAGATGAAAAGATCTTTGGAATCACTCTATGAAATCGAAGTTTTGCGAAAAGTTTCGGAAACGCAAAATAAACAACTTGCTTGCGTGTGATTCCCCCACCTGGCTACCTTGTATCCTTTTCGTCAGAAGTTTTATTAGGAAAACTCGGTTCTGGTGATTAAAAAGTACCGGATGATAAAATTAATAAATTATCTACCGGGATCATAGCGGAAGCAGATCAAAGCGCACCGGGTGCCAGATACACCAGGTGATGGGTCATTCTTGCACCCTCTCAAAAGGATGGCGTTGGGAGATGTTGGTCATCTGCCCACCTTCACCTGATGTCCGTTTGAAGAAAAAGGCCAGATGTTAGAAAGAAGACGGTTGGAGTTCCTTCAAAAAAATAGGTCAGCTGGCATAGGTGCGGCAATGTAAGTATAGGCCAGCTTGAAGACGGAATTCGGAAATGCATCTCTCCCTCAACGGAATCGGGGGTTGGCGCGTGTTCCACGTCACTCAAACAACATTAAATGCATCCGCTGGAAGATGCAAACTTGTTTATGAGTTATTTTTGTAATCTTTATTTATAGTTGTTGTAGGTTTCTTCGTGACCCTGGGTCACGATCTTTTGATTTTTATTATGCATAGAGGATATATGAAAAACCTCACCCATGCTATGTATTTTCGAATTCCTTATATGCAATGGAGGTCTGATTAGGAAAAATCAAAATTTAAGGCTATACTTTTTTTTCTTCTCTTCATAGGGAACTTAAAAACAAGACACCTTTGCAGTAAACGCATGTTGTAACTTCTCAGATTAAAGTGCTTGGGATATGTTGATCTTTTTTAATTATTTATTGATTTATTATTACAGTTTTTTTAATACAGTATTGTGATTGGATAGAGTTCAATAGCGCTTGAAAAATAGTGTGATTCAAATAGGACTGTTGTACCCGAATTATGGAGGAACTTTTAAAACTTTATATATTTATAATGAAATTATATAATAAAAAATAGTATTGTTATAATAGTGTATTAATTGATAGTCCATTAACAGTCTCTCAGGGGCTTTATCTTTTGAAAGATAAAAATCTTTGTAAAAATGACAAAGTATTTAAATTCAATAAATTTTTAAAAAAAAGTAGCTAAAAAAATATGATTTGTATGTACAATTATTTGTATTTGCATGTACAATACAATAAGGGTAATTAATGAAAGTTAGAACATTTTCAATGCTGCTTAAGAGTTCTAATCATTTTGTTAAATAGTATGAAATGAGTTAAGTTCTGGCCTTCTCAATCAACTTCCTCCAGGCCTGCCTCCGCCTGGCAGTTGTCTTCCAGTTTGAGACTTTTAAGACTGAAAAGTCTCTTTCCACGCAGTCGGCCCATCTCAGCTTTGGTCGACCTCTGGGTCTTGATCCGATGGGCTGAGTATGATGAATAATTAATCCACCAAGAAAAAAAAAGGTTTTAGAAAATCCCCCCCCCCCCCTCTAAAAAATAATATGATTAAGTTCAACCTATCCACTGATCATAAAAGTTCATCTCTTATTATGCAAATTTTGAGTTGAAGATAGAATGAGCTTAACTAAAAAGAATAATTCCCACTAAAAATGAAAATTAATAAATAAATTAAAAAAATACATAAAGAGATACCCTTTGCAAAAATACCCTTTAAAAAGGGATTTTGAAATCTAATTTATCACCCAAAATAATTCTTATTTACATCAAACTAAAACACAAGTTGGAATAAAACTTCTCTTTCTTTGTAATTTTATGTGATTGCAAAAATGTACATTGATGATTATGTAATACATTTGGTGGAAAAATATTCCCCACAAAAAAAGATTTTAAAAATTATCCCCCCTCCAAATGTTACAAAAAAATTTCCCTAAATTTATGAAATATTAAAAAATAAAAATAAATTATCCCCTCCCCAAGAATAGCTATGGCAATTTGTAATCCTTGTGGGAAACCCCTATTCAGCTCTATGAATTGTTTAAATCAGTGTAGATCAATGAAGTTCTGACTTTCTGAAGATCTTACACCATAAAGAAAACAATTGTCATGGTTAAAAGGCATAAACACTGTACAAAATCAATAGCAAACGTGGGAATCGAAACGTATTAGCCCTGTAATTGGCGATTTGTGCAATATTCAAAAGCGAAGAGCGTCTACAGGAAGAGAAAAATCTTGAGTAATTTTAAAAGCGTTTCAGCACTATGAATTATTTAAATCGACATAGATTTATAAAATTCTGCCTTTCTGAAAATCTTACACAGCAAAGGAAAACAATTGACATGGTAAAAGTACATACATAAACAAAGTCAATAGCAACAGTTGGAATCGAAACGTATTCTAACCCATTTTTTGCCTTTCTTTGCTGTTAAAACCCTTCAACTGGGAATGAAAATCTCGTTTGGATTTGCAAACGTCTGTCTGAACAAAGTAAATTAGTATTTATTATTTTTTTTCGGCGTAAATATTACACAGTGAAGTATTCTTTTATTATAAATTTTATCTATGGTAGAACGTATCAAGTTTTCGATTGTTAATGTACAGTGACCCACTAATAAAATTACCAGTTCCTAAATCAGCTGCTTTTTTTTAAATAAAACCTGTAAGAACAGGGTTATTGCAATATCAAAACATGTTAAAACTATCTTTAAATGAAATCATTATCACCGTTTTATACATTTATGCTTTCTGAGAGCATATGTTTTAAAAATGAAAAGCGTTCTGCTTTTTGTTGTCGGATTGTTAGGAATTTTTTTTCTTTTCGTGTTTTGAAAGTTATGTAGCATATAGATAACAAATACCAGTCTGCAATTCGCGAATAAAGGAAAACTGCTTATTAAGTAAAGTTATTGAAAGCCCACCAAAGATAATTAATCACTGGTTAGCCCTCAAAGATAAAATAAAGAAACAGGAAGGTTGAGAAAGAATTCAAATATAAATAATTTAAAGAACAGTTTACTTATTCAAAGAGATAAACCATATCTGTTAGTTATTTTTATCAAACAAGAGTGGATCATAATATATCTGAAAAGAGTTATACCAGTCACTGTTATATTATACTATGATTTAACTAGAAATGAAATTTTTACATTTATTTTAAGTCCAACTTGTTAGCTAGCCCATGTCTAAAGATTTGAGTGGCAAGGATAAACTCAAAATATGTTAAAATTTATCATTGACAGTCGATGGAAGTAACAAAAACTTATGCATGCTCTCAAACAATGTTGACTTTTTAAAAGATTATAACTTTGTTAAAAAAATTCGGACAGTTCTAATAATTTTTCTAAAAATAAGTCCATTTACACTTCGATATTTAAAAATATTGGAAAATTAAAAACTATCTGTTCCATATGTAACGTATTGTGTTACATCAATGACACCCAATTTTTAATTTTTTTTTTAAAAATTAAACACTTTTTAAACTAATGTAAGTTAATAAAAATTAGAGTAAGAGCAAATGACACAAACTTAATTTCACGAAATTTATTTGAACTGCTCGAATACTTTTTAATTGAATTTTTTAGCTTTTAAAGTCTGTAAATATGACATTCTTAAATGGTGGAATATTCAAATACTCAATGGTAAAATCAGCAATGTCAATTGTTAAAAGTTTTATACTCATACATTTTTTAAACATTTGAAATTTTGTCTCAAAATGTTTCGTTCAAACATTTTTCGAAGTTTTATTTTATTTCTATTTTCTGCTTTATTAAATTATAATTTTATATTAAAAGATGATTTGAATTCAGTAAAATATTTTAAAATATTAATGAAAGAATATTTTTTATAGTTAACTCATAATTTTAAGTTTTGATAGAATTTTGTCACTTCGAAGCGCGTACTAAAATTTTACGCATTTCTTATAATTTATTTTATTTAATTGTTAAATGTTAGACATTTTAGACTGCTTCCTATTTTTTAAAAACTAACTTTAAGAATTTTATTTTAATAATATTTCAAGTGGTTTCGAGATATTTGATATTATTACACAAAATATAACTGAACAGTTTTGATGTGGACATACTAATAAGTTATTTTTTAGCCTTTCTTTCCATACATTTTTTTCTGTTCATTTTTTCCCCATTTATATAGATAATGAAATACGTATTAGAACTATAGATACAATAACTTTGCCGCTTCCAGTAGCTTTCATCTTCATGAAGGATCCCGAATGATAATTAAAGAGCTGGTAGACTTCTTTAATCAAAGACTAGTTCCATCTTCCATCCTTGGATGCTGATTAGTGTTGTCGCAGCTGTGAAATAACAATTAAGGATGGAACTGTTATGTGAGAGGGCGGATGTCTGGTGAGCACCAGTGAAAACAAGCTGACAACAGCCGAGTCTGTTGGAAGCAGAGTACTTCCTGCGCTGGGCGACAGATTTTTATTGACCCTTTATATTTATGGTTCATCTCTGTCTCTTAAGAACATGTGTTTATTTATTTAAGAATTATGATCAGAATGAGTTTGTTCTTCTGAGAAACAGCTTGACAGATTTGGGAATCATATTCCTTTAGAAGTTGCCGTGTTTATCAGGGAGGCAACTATAGTTCAGAGAGAACAAAGCTTCCTGACAAGTTATTTTTTGACTTGATGGATTCGAAGCTTTTTGTATATAGATCTATTAGGGGGACCGGAAAGTAATGTGGATGCATTTGATATTTGTTATCAAGATTTTATTTTTAATCAATAATGCATTCTCCCTCGTTAGCAACAACCTTTCAATGCCGGATAGGAAGAAAAAAAAATTATTTGGTTTTTAAGACTAACGAATATTTAATGCGCTGAAACTACAAAAAAAAAACTACAGACACTGGACTAGTACATTACTTTTGGGTGCCCCTCATATTATGAAAGTAGTATTTTTTTATTTATTATTAGAATTGGGCAGTTTTACCCTGTAATTACGGTTTACAAGTAGAAATTTTGGATCTAACCTAGCAAACAAGGGAACTCCTGGATGAAGCATAGGAAGAAATTCTCCATTGAGGAATTTTCACGTTATAGGGCGAGGAAAACCACATAAATCTTCCGTGGTTAGTTCGATGACAAGTCGACAAGGGGATTCAAAACGATAATACATCTACCACTTGGATGAATTTGCATCAGCACGGTGGTTGGTGCAAGCAATGAGCAGTATACGAATCGATCAGCCATAGCTGGAATTTAAACCGGGTTTGCCTCTTACGGAGTTGAGCTCTCTAATTTCTAGCCATTCCGGTTTTTATAAGAAATCTTAATATTTTTGTAGAGTGGGAAGAAAAAGTTTTGCATTTTTTCTTTGTCATGTTGCTGAGATTTCTGACAATTTTGGGACTCGATCAAAAATCAATATCTAATTGAATTCCCAAGGATCTATTTTGAAATTAACATTATTTTTTTTTAAAGACATTTATTAGATATATATTAGAATACAATAAATTTTTTAGGTATATATATTAATATATCAGATATACTATATGTTATATATAAATATATTAGAATACAGTAATATAGTAAAAAATAGTGTTCCATATAATAAATTATCAGCCACAACGGATAATTTTTTTAAAAAAAGAAATTTTTTTTCAAGTATATTTTAAAAATTACAGAAAATAAGAACAGATTTTTTCCTTTATGATAAAATGAGATAGAAAATCAAAGAAATAAATAAATAAATAAAAATTCTATTTATAACCATTTGACTTCCGACGTTGCAATGTTTTTACTTCTTTAAGAAAGGCTTTCGATAACCATTATACAGTTCATACTTCTTTGCACACAATTCTTTATTAGATTGGCAGTCCAGTGTCTCTTTCGCCCCCCCCCCTCCACAGTGC